CATCATGATTCATGGGCACAATGATCCCCCCAAACCATGAAGTACCCTCAATGTGCTGTTTACAGGAAAGTAAGGAGAAATCTAATGTATTTATGAAAGAGTTTCAGCAAATAGTGGGTTAAACGAATTCTCATACAGTTAAAATCATAGCTTTGGTTACCTGGAAAATCCACATAAGAGAGCACATCTCCAATAATATCAGATAAATTAGGTGTTATTGCCTTTAACTTCCTAGAAATGTGCAGCTTAAATAAACTTCTGGGTCCCATATTTGGCATAATAAGCCACATGGTGTTTGGAAAGATCTTTTCCTTCTGGCATCACTGAGGTTGGGATTGGCATTATAATGGTCCTAGAAAAACAAACCTTCACATTCCAAAATTTTGACAAATTTTGGTAAGCACTATAACAGCTGCAAAAAAACAGTGAGTCAAAGTTTCCAAAGCCCCTCTCTCTTCTGCAGTTGAAAAGACATGTCAATGTGCTTGGAATGAAGAAAAGTGTGGAAAGTTGCTAGGAATTCTCAATGAAGATCATTAAAATTTATTACTGTCATAATTTTCATGGTATTATTCTCACACCACTAAAAGGGGTGAAATTCTAGTCACCAAGGAGGATCAGACCGCTTTAAAAAATCTGTTTGAAATGCTGCTTTCACAAGACCTTCAGGAATACTGGTAGAAGGAGAAGCTATTTTATTCAAAGAAACAGAAGATTCCTCCACAAGGAAATGAGGTTAGTGAGTCCAGCCCTGGTATCATGTGGAATTTGTTATAGTGACTTCCATTGATATCAGGCTGTACAAACCAGTTTCAAGATCAAACAAAGCCCAATGAAACAGAGTGGGCCAAAAATATGGAGATGATTCTTCTTGAAAATTAAAACCACCACAAACACTGCTAGCAATTTAGATATATTTGGATTACATATGTCTTTGGAAAATGTTTAACTCTAAATGTATGATTCTAGAATGGATTTTATTGTCACTAAGGATTACTCATGTGCATTTGCGATGCTAAATGAGGAAGTGAACTTAGCCACATTTAGAATACTCATACAGTCTTGAAGAATGTGTGGCCAGTCTTCAAGTGCATGCCTTTAAAGAGCATGGAAGGGGCAGCATCTGGCGATCTACCTTTGCCTCAGGGAGGAAAGGCCAACAGTAACAATCCACACAGCTTCATTTCTTTAACAGTAAAACATAGATAAAGGGATGGTCCACTTTAAACCCCAGCATAGGTTCTTACTAAGATAAAGACCATGCTGCATGATTTCTTATCTAAGCAGACAGCTCTGCAAATCAGCGTTCATATGTTCCAATTATTAATGGTTCAAATGTGAACAAATTATACTTCTCAGAATCAAATTAAAGAAAGAAAGAAAGGAAGGAAGGAAAGAAAAAGAAAGAGAAGAAAGAAAGAAAGAAAGAGAAAGAAAGAAAGAAAGAAGGAAGAAAGAGGATGACGCATTAACGTTTGTTGGCTGCTTATGATGTTCCAAGCACCAAGCGAAGTGTTCTCCAAAAATAATCATGAGAGGTGAGGTGATTATTACGATGCTTATTCTATAGAAAAAGAAATTCAGGCTCAGGGACGGAGGTACCCTAGCCAAAGTCAAACAGCTGCTAAAAGACTGAGGCTAGTTGGGAATTTCATGAAGTTTTCCCCTATACCTTTAAAGTTACCTAAAGTGTCATACATTTCCTTTCAGGCTGTGCCATCAAAATAGGTGCCCCTATTTTGTTCCGAAGTTGGCCTGTGTTTCTGCCCTCAATGTCCTGCTGCCCATGGGCCTGTACTCTGTGGGCTGCCACTTTTCTGCCTTATTCCACAAACCACTTCCTTCCATTCATGTCCTGTGGCCTCTGCACATGTATACTCAACTTCCCATCCTAAAATCCCTTCCCTCTCTCTTCTCCTATCTACTGCTCTATTTGGCTTTCTTTTCACCTCCAGATTTAGTGATAAGAGCATCTGACTTCTGCTTCATATCCTGTGTCATTCTGTCACTGATCGTGACCCAGTTTATAAGCCATTACTTCACAGATCCTGCTTCGGCAAAGACAATTTATAACTTCATGATTTGCAAACCTAAATGAGGCCTCTTTTCAGATCTCATCCTTCTTGATGCCCCACCTCCTTTTTGAGACAGGGTCTCACTTTGCTGCCCAGGCTGGAGTGCAGTGGCGCGATCATGGCTCACTGCAGCCTCGGCCCATGCAACCCTCCCACCTCCTGGGCCCAAGCAAACCTCCCAGCTCAGTCCCCATGAGTAGCTGGGACTTCCTGAACCCTTTGGGCATCTGGCTCTATTAACCCCTCCTCTGTGAAACCTGGGTCCCCTGAAAAGACCTTTCCTAACTCTATTCAAAATCTGTTGGCTCTCTTTCTTTCACTTGCTCCTCTGTCTCAGCTCATCCCTTAAATATTGAGGTTTCTCATGTCATCATCCTCTATTTCCTCTTCTTTTCAATGAATTTCTCCCCAGCTGCTCTAATCTACACTCTAGGCTTCAGTTGCCACCAGTACACTGAATTCCTTGCTGTCAACCTCTCCTGTGCTCCATGGCTGTCATTTCCAGCTCTATTTGGGAATCTCCAATTGATGGCCCAAAGATTTCTCAATAAAACTTGTCCATCACCAAACTCATTCAACTTTCCTGCTTGAGTCTAACCATTTTCCATTCTTGGCAGAGGGTGCTACCATCTGCCTGGTAGTCTAGGTAGTGAGACCCTGACTCTTCCCTACCTCTACTCAAAGTCCTGATGTCTCTGCTTTCTATGTATCTCCTCAATTCTTCCCCTGGTCTCCATCTCCACGGCCTAGTCCAGCCTTTCATCATGTTACTCTGGCTAATGCAACAGCCTCTCTGATACTATCTCTGTCTCCAGTCTCTCATCTTCTAATTTACCTCCCAATTGCCACCAAACTGATCTTTGAAAAACATTGGCATTCCTCTGCTTATACACTTTCAGTGGCTTTACATGGACTATAGAATAAGGCTGGCCAGGCGTCATGGCTCACACCTGTAATCCCAGCACTTTGGGAGGCCGAGGTGAGCAGATCACTTGAAGTCAGGAGTTTGAGACCAGCCTGACCAACATGGTGAAACCCAGTGTCTACTACAAATACAAAGATTAGCTGGGTGTGGTGGCACATGCCTGTAATCCCAGCTACTGGGGGGGCTGAGGCAGGAGAATTGCTTGAACCCGGGAAGTGGAGGTTACAGTGAGCCTAGCTCATGCCACTGCACTCCAGCCTGGGTGAAGAAATGACACTCTGATTCATAAATAAATAAACAAATAAGGCTTCAATGATCAACTGGTCTTACCCTACCTTTCCAACCTGAGCTTTGTGAACTGCCCTTCACTTGTATCTATTAATTTGCTACACTACTTTCACGCTCCTGTGGTTTAGCTTATGCTACCTGATATGGTTTTTTTTGATGTTTGTTCCCACTAAATCTCATGTTTAAATAAAATCCCCAGTGTCAGAGGTAGGGCCTTGTGGGGGGTGTTTAGATCATAAGGGTGGATCTCTCATGAATGGCTTAGTACCACCCCCTTGGTGAGGCATGACCTCACATGAGATCTGGTTGTTTAAAGGTGTGTGGTACCTCTCCCCTGCTCTCTCTGGCTCCCACTCTCACCATGTGACATGCTGGCTCTCCATCACCTTCTGACATGAGTGGAAGCTTTGTGAGGCCCTCACAGAAGCCAAGCAAATGCTGGCACCATGCTTGTACAGTCTGTAAAACCATAAGCCAATGAAACCTCTTTTCTTTATAAATTACCCAGCCTCAGGTTTATTTATAGCAACACAAGAATGGCCTAACACGCTACCCCTTTGACTAGAATGTCCTTCTTTCTTTGGTTCGCCTGGTAAACTCCTATTCATCATCCTTCAAGACTCCACTTCATAGTTTCCCAAACACCCCATCCCCAGCCTTAAAGGAATAACTGCTCCCACAACTGTGTTCCCATACATTTCTTCATTAAAAGACTAACTACTGAGCTTCACAGAGTCACTTGTTGACTCACTGCCCCACCATCAATTCTTCAAAGGCAGAAACTGTATTATTCATCTCTGTAGTCCCAGAGTCTAATTCAGTGCTTGGATCATAGTTAGATGCTCCATAAATCTATGTTAAATGAACAAATTAATAGATCTTTTCCTGTCTGCAGTATCCAATTAGGCTGCAGCTTCATTATCACTGCAGTATGTGAAAACACATGTTATATACCAAAGAACATAAAGCAACTTAGTGACACATATGGAGTTTGCATTTCTACTGAAACAGTTTTCAATTCTGATAGCTGTTAAACTGTGAACAATGCATTGACTATAATAAGGACCTATATACAGCTGATATTCTGTCAACATCATGACTGTCTTCATTTTCAAAGCTCATTTGCCAAGCTGCATTTTCTACCATTTGTTCATCCACCCATTCATCCACCCACTCACTCTTTCATTCATGCCTATCTCTTTAAAAAGAGATCAAATGTACACATTTCAGTTTATCAACAAGTTCTATATGCCAATCCATCTCTGTTCTTTATATCTAATGCAATTAATGAATATTGCAGGGAAATATATCCAAGTCCATTAAACCGAATAATTTCAATTCTATATTATTTCTTGAGTAGAGAATTTATCTTCATTGTCTATCAAATCAGTCTCTTCATTAGAACTTTCTAAAGCCAAAAAGCAACCTAATATTTTGTGTCCTGCTATTGCATGACATAATATCATGAAAAGTAAATTCTATATTCGAGTATGTCAGATCACGAATCCTCCTATTCATTATCTCTTTGTCAAAATGAATCCCCATGGAAATAGGTCACTCTTAAGAGACAGGAAATGCCACACATGTATCTGTGCTAACACTAAAGATGTATCTGAAGTGTTCCCTTCCTGTTCTGTCTTTAGGGAGGAGAGAACATCTGGCTTGCAGCTTCGCTCCTCAGAGAATTCACTGTGAGCAGCAGGTGGACTCACCTGGCGAGTTCTGAGGAGATGACACGGGAGAGCCACGTGGGGACTGACAGTAGCTGGGGTGGAGTAAGGCATGTGGAGGCACATATGACATTATCTCTTCTTCAAATAAGCTGGGGAAGGACAAGAAACAAAACGGGTATTTCAGCCAAAGAAGTGGGGAACAGCCTAAAGCCTGAGGGGGTAGAACATTCCATCCGAGATCTGGTTCACATCCCAAAGAGAGCAACCACCCGCTTTCTCTTGCAGGTAATTCTTGGAACAAAATGGCTGGCTCTGGTCATTTTTGTGAAACCTGTGGTTATTTGCCTGTTTTGCTACCAAGTTTGGACAACATGATTTGATTTTACTATTTCAATATATGAATTTGAGTGTACATGTTTGAAAAATCATACCTGGGTTTTTAGATTTGGAAACAGGATTCCAACACAAAATAGAAAATGCGAATTGAGAACCCATCATAAATACACAAAGTATGTTCTATATCCTCATTTCAAGAAATAAACAATAGGGTCTCAGACTTTGAAGAGCTTAGGATTTAATTAGATAATTCAAAGCAAAATAAAACAAAACACCTTCTAAATAATTACAGTCACAAAATAATGAGCTCCCTTGTTTATCCTGGCTACTATTTTTCAAATGTGAGGATTTGGATCTTAGACCATTTAATTGTCTTTTTTCTTTTCTATATTGAAATGTCTGTTTCTGATATTCTCCTAAAAGATAGTAACCAGAGACCTGAGATCTTAGAATCCTGGACTTTTCATTAAATATTATGATAAAGAAAACTACTATTAATGGTACCAAGCTCAAATATATAAACACTTGGCAAAATAGAATTAAAACAACAGTAAAAGTTAGAGAGCTTGTATTTTAATTAAGAAGTAGAAGCAGATTTCTTTTTGCTCAAATGTAGCCAAATCTAGAAAACAGTTACTTGTTTAAAAAAAAATTTAGTAGAAGTGGCAACGGTTTAATTTTGTAGAGATTTAAGGCAAGGACTTCTAAGTGTGATAGCACTGGTTCTAGACGGAGGTGAGTTTGCTCCCCCCATCCCTTGGGGCATTTGGCAATGTCTGAGGATATTATGTAAAGCAAAAATAGTGTTAACATTTATTAACACTTTAATATAGACATAACTGGGGAAGGAGGTGCTATTGACCTCTAGTGGGTGAGGTCAGGATGCTGCTAAACATCCTATAATTCACAATGTAGCTCTTCAGAAAAAAATACCTAGCCAGCCCAAAACGTCCATACTGCTGAGGCTGGGACACTGCTAAGCAGTGCGTAAAAACACTTCTGCCGGACCACTGCAGCAAAAGCATTTTTATGTGATTTTGTTTTTCAAGCCACCACTGTACTTTTAAACTATAAGTCAGAAGATATGGATATAGAAGCAGTAAGTAATCTTATCTGTAATACCAAATTACTCCCTGAAATAGTTTTCTTTTTAAAATAAATCAAATGGAATAATGTGAATTTTAAATTAACTGTTAAGAAAAAGTCTCATATAACAACTGATGGCCCTAGAATCTAGAAACCTATAGCTAAATTAGTTAGAGTAGGAAACAGCACTCTTTTCACAGACATCAATACCTATAGTTCTTGTGATGACATATATTCTTTCCTTTAAATATAACTAATACTCAGAAATCTTTCATATCAAGAGAAAAAAAGTTTACTTGAAAAGTTTAATACCTAAAAGATAATAATATAAAAATGCTCAATATACATCATGCAGTGTTAATAAATGTTAACACTATTTTTGCTTCACACACACACTGAAAAGTCTGTATATATCTAAATAGAGAGGTATATATATATCTGTACATGTGTGTGTGCATTTGTGTATATAAAGTCCCTTTTGTTGTCCTCTATCATGATTGTACAGGTGTCCTTCCTTCTATAGTTCTATATTCAGCAACATTTATATAGAAAGGTAAATAATTAATTGTTTTACCTTAAACATTGTTTAAAAATTACATACATACTACGTAAGTTATAGTATTCTTGAGATTTTTAAATTCAACAATATAGTTCTGGTATCTATGTGGATCTATAAGGATCCAGTTTATTCCTTTTACCTGCTATGGTAGGCCATTCTACAAATATATCAGTCTATTTATTCATACCTCTTTCGATGAGCATTTACTTTATTTCAAACTGTGTGCTTTTATCAATAATAGTGCAATGAACATCCTATATATAATACCTTGAATATGTGTAAAAGACTTTCCTAGTGCAAACGTGGCATATACCTAAAAGCAGAGTTACTCTATCATAATGCATATGCCTTTTCAGCTGCATAAGATAGTGTTCATTCGTATTCCAACAAGGGTGTAGAAACGGCAATGCCACTAAGCCCAGACAATACAAAAGTTCTTATGTATCATTAAGTATTTCAGACTTTTTGACTTTTACAAATCTAATAGTGTAAAATGGTATCTCCTTATTTGAAACTGGATTTGTAATTACTAGCATTTTTTCCATGGGTTTATTGGCTATTCATACTTCCATTTCTATGAAATGCCTTTTCATATCCTTTATCCATTTTTCTATTGGGTACTCTTCTTTTAAATTAAAAGCCTTCTTTATGTATCCATGAATTTTTTTTTCTGTCACCAGACTGGAGTACAGTGGCATAATCTCCGCTCACTGCAACCTCTGCCTCCCAGGTTCAAGTGATTCCCCTGCCTCGGCCTCCCAAGTAGCTGAGACTACAGGTGCACACCACCACATCCAGCTAATTTCTTTATTTTATTTGTTTTTTAGTAGAGACGGGGTTTCACCATGTTGGGCAGGATGGTCTTGATCTGCTGACCTTATGATCTGCCCACCTCGGCCTTCCAAAGTGCTGGCATTACAGGTGTGAGCCACTGGGCCCAGCCGATCTGTTTGTTTTATGTCATGTAAATCTATTCTTCCAGATGTTTATCTTTCTCTATGCATTTATATGTGATATCTTTCATTACATCAATTTTAATATATTTATGTAACCAAATTTATCAGTAATTTCCTATATGAGCTCTGATAGAGGTACTTTTTTTTTTTTACACAAATTGAGTTAGTGAAAAAATGCATGAAATAGAAAAATCAATAACCAACTCAACAAGGTCATTTAAAAATTATTGGGGTTTAAAATAGCCCTATTGGAAAATTACATAGATTTATTTTGAATTGAATAATGTCCTAGAATGACACTATCTTTACATTGCAGCTTACTGAGAATCAAGTCAATTTGTACCAGGAGTGATTTTCCTTTTTAAGAAATTAGACAAAACATAAAAATATACACAAAGTCTTCCATGTCTTCCATGTGACAAGTATGCTGACTGAAGTTTGTAGTCACTAATTCAAATTATTCCAATTCCAAAGTAAAATAAAACATAAAGAACCGAGGACCTGAATAAAACCCCAAATTTTTCAATAATCACGAATTATTACTCATTAAGCATGTATATATAATACATTGTGTTGTTTACTATTATTAAAATAATAAACACATTTGATCACCCACATGAAAAGTCTAGAATTTAATGACATCATTTATATGCAATAATTATAGAACTATTGTATGTAAGTAAATTTCTAACACTTCTCCAAAAGCCCATTAGCTTTGGAGAACCTGCTTATTTTCCCAAAGAGGGGAAAGTGCAGCTTGCTCTTTAGGTATGAATGAATTTTGAATTATTTGAATTCAAATACTTTTGAATTCTACTACATAACATATAGAAACTCATGTAAACTGTTGTGTAATCAAAGTAAAACATTATAAGCTATAGTATAATAAATTTAAGACTATACCATCTAAAGATTATTTAACTATGGACATCTGAATGATAATTATGACGTCTGTTTTTACTAATTCCAACAGCAAAATTCTTAGTTTAAAAGAAAAACCCCTTAGCTTTCTAGAATGAAGCAGAAGAGCATATCCTGGCCAGAATTCTGTTAACAGAAACTTAAACTATTTTATCACCAACCAAACCATAACAGAAACATCACACTAATATTAATTGGCCAGTAGTCTTCCTGACCTCCTGGCATACCATATGCTGCTTTCAGAACTGGCTCAATACAATAGGAGAGAAGCCACCCACAGGCTGAGATGTGACCCCCACCACAGGTCCTATTCAGAGTCAACTGAAGCCAAGTATCTATAGAAAGTGAGTCCATCCCTTTGAATTATGCTTCGACTACACATAAAGAAAAATAACTTTCTGACAACAATCACGTGGGCAGTCAGAAATATGGTAACAAATATGGCAACTATGCAGTGGAGAATTAGACATGGTCAGAGTCAAGATCATCATGATTACTTGAATGAGGTTATTAACACTCAGGGATAAACAAAATCTTGCCTGAAAGGTTCAAGCATGATATTCCCTTTAATTCTGTGGAGGTTACAGGGGTGGGTTTCACAACCACAGGGTAGAGCAAAGCGCTATTTTACTATGGCTTGCCTACATTTGAGGGATAATACAAAAAATGAGAAAGTCCTTTGAAAACTTGCCAGTTTCCTTTCTAAACTACTCTAAAATTTAAAACCAAAGCTGATTTAACCATTGGGGGGGAAGAAAAAAATAACTGGGCAGTTTTATGAAGGGCTATCAAGTTGGCAGTGAGTAGCAGGGACCAAATGTCAGCTTTCTGATCTGATTTACCAAATGCACACTCTTAAAACCACAAGCTACATAAATAATGTCTTGAGTCAGCAAAAGGGGACAAAACACATTTTGAGAAAAACATTTAAAGAATATTTAAACTGAAGGGGTAAACTCTTCTACACTGAGGAGGTAAACTGCGGCTACCCTTCTGTTCCATTCTGTGAGTGGGAGATTCTATTCATTACAACCTTTCCCTTTTCCAATACAACCTCCTTTGACAGCAGGGTAAAAACAAAATTAAACAGATCTCAGTGCAGCAAATGCAGCCTGAAGTGAATGATCACTCAATCAGTGCCCTAAATCTTCAACATATTTCCACAAGTCTAAAGAATAAGAATAACTTTAGGACTATTAATATTGGCGTATTATTTTCTACAATGCTCCATGGTGTCTGATGACAGGAGACCTTCTGCCTCAAGAGTGAGTGTTATGTACGTACCTCAGCAACATAACCAGGTCTGCATCGCTTGAAAGGCGCACCAATCCTGGAGTCCCTTCAGTTCGGATAAATTGGATCTTCTCCCTATTCAAGAAAAGAAACAAACAGCGCAAAGTGTATATGATAAACCTTTGGGCTATAACTCAGTAGCAAAGAGCATTTTCTGTAACAGTCATAACATTTTTAATACCTATTATGTGTCAGCTACTGTGTGATATCCTAGGAATACACATCCAAGAGAGGCATGGTCTTTGCCTTCAAGGGAGGATCTTGTGATGAGCATCAACACCTCCCAGTTCTAACGTTGTAGGGAGAAAGATTCTTTTATTGCTTTCATCATTTTGCTGCCCAAATACTACTATAAATAGCATACCATTCAACCAATAAAATCAGTGTCTGCTTTGAGTTAAAGCTGACTGTGGGCCTGAATCTTAGTGATAGTCTTAGGCTGATCCCCAGCTGTGCCAAAAAGGGATTGTGTTGGGAGAGTCATCTATTTTCCTGAGGCCATATCTTTAAATTACATGTGATGAGCTCATTCCTAATTGGAAGCAGATAGTATCTATGCATTACATATTCAGTGTAAAAGCATATGGCTTTTTTAAATAAGGAAAACACTGAAATACTTTGCTACTACACTTGGTGAAATAGATTGTGTACATACCTGTGCAAATGTATATATACCTATATACATCAAACACAACAAGGTGAGTTATTTCTACCACTATTTTGTTATAGATAAATGGGATAACGCCAGTTTTTTTTTCTTTTTGTTTGATGAGTCAACATCATGTCACTATTTTCAATTTGTTATATGATACAATTTTAATAAATTTTTTCCTAGGTGCTTTCTTCCCTCATTTACATCATGCTATTTCAAAGCACATCATATTAACTTTCATAAGATGAAGAAAAAAATAACATAAACTATGGTACTAAAGTCATTATATTTCACTGGAATAGAGAGGATGACACAAACAATTCTATTCTATAGACAATATATTCTGATTTCTGTACCAGAAAGTAAAATATTAATCCCTGATATAAGTATTTATTTAGATTTAGTTCTTATCTACAAAGCAACTTGTTTTTCTATGTAATATTTTCACAAAGTTCCACTGATGTTTTTGTTTGTTTGTTTTGAGAGAGGGCCTCACTCTGTCACCCAGACTGGGGTGCAATGGCACAATCTTGGCTCACCACAACCTCTGCCTCCCAGGTTCAAACAATTCTCCTGCCTCAGACATTTGAGTAGCTAGGATTATAGGCATGCACCACCACGCCAAGCTAATTTTTGTACTTTAGTGGAGATGGGGTTTTGCCATTTTCACCATGCTGGTCTCAAGCTCCTGGCCTCATGTGATCTGCCTGCCTTGGCCTCTCAAAGTGCTGGGATTACAGGCATGAGCCAGCATGCCTGGCCAAGTTCCACTGATTTTTATATTTCCAAATTTCAAATACTTTTCTTAAGACTGCTTGCTGACTTGAAGGCACTGAGGTGGAAGGCAAGGTGCCATGTTCACAGGAAAAATTCCCTAATGCATAGAAAAGTCAGTGGATTTGCCGTTAGCCACATAGCTTACGAGGTATGATAAACAGAGTTCAGTCCTTGGTTTCTTCTGGCTAGATCCATTTTATATGATATATGAAGCAGCTAATCTTTAACATTTGTCAAATTTTCCTTTCTATAATTTATTGCCAGCAGCTAACTACTGTTTTTTTTAAAAGACTATTAGAAGTTAGTAGCAGGCATGTATGTAAAGGAATCTGCTTAAGGTTATTTCTGTGAAGCCTTGAACCAGGCAGAGCGTTTTCCCTCAAGTGTTGGAATCATACATCTGAAACATGTGATGGAAACCCAGTCCCATTATCTGGTGAATGGTTTTTCTGATAAGAGATGTAAATGTTGGCTTATACAAGCTAAATCAGAGAAAAGTTATTTTGAAGAAAAATGAATAATAACTTAACCAAAGAACTACTCTTATAAGGGTCAGTAACACTATGCTTTGATCTTGGAGAATCAAAAGCTATCTCCCACAAATGCGCAACTTATCTCTTCTGTCTATCAACACAGTGAATCCAGGCAAAAAGAACAAGACAAAAACAAACAGGCTGAGCACTCTCCCCTCCTTCCTTAACTGGAGCTACACAGAAGGAGTTGAGTGATGGTAGATATCAGGCCCTGGACTGCGGCTTGTAAGTTTCCTGTGAATAAGAAAAACATCATCGCTTCTTGAGTCACAAGGATGATAGGGTGAGAAATAGAAAGGACAAAGGCACCAGAGGAAGTATGCCAACTGGGAAACTTTTCATCACTTTCCAGATGTAAACTACCAGACTGCGAAGGCAACTAGTCTGATTTTTCAGGTGAGAACACATGAGAGGCAGGCTGAGACCAGTTTTCTACCAGGCCAACTAATTTATCACAGTGACAAGCTATGGGTCATATGCTTCCAGGAACCAGACACTGGAACATGTCGTTTGATGTAAAGTACTTTCTTATGTTGATACTGATTCATTCTTTCAGCAAACATTTTCTGCATGCCTACTACGTGCTGGTCATGGTACCACACTCTGGTAATCCAATGGGGAGTAAGAGAAAGTCTCTTTCCAAGAAGCTTACAGTGCTGTGGAAGAGAGGCCATCAAAAGACAATTCTCATTTGATGTGAAAATATTTAAATTTTTCTGTTCACTTAATTGAACGGTGGTTAGGCTTTATACCTGCTCCTGATCTAAACAGTTCTTTATAAAGTCCTTTCATGTAGAGACAAAGGAAGCATTAGTTTACTGCTGTAGGGAGAGCTGATCAAGGCTGAGGAAGAGACAGAAGTCAGCAGATGTCCCCGGAAATGTCACCAATCTTTTCTGAGAAGAACAAAGGAACTGCTTCTTGGTTATCAAGTGTTTGCCTAGTATGCTATAGACAAGTGTTTCTCAAACTGGCATCCTTGGTCTACTAGAAATTTGCATACATAAGCTCGAGCTCTGCAAGAATTTTTAAATTTTGTGTCTTCACTTTGATGATCAAAACACATGAAACAATATAATATTTTAGATGAGATGGATGACATTTATGACTGAAGTTTGTCATATGACTTTGGGTCCCATGTTTATATTTATAGGGCACTTGGTGCAAAGGGATCAGAGATGAGCTTTTAAAGGATGGTGAATAGACCTGGCTGCCCTTAGGCTGGCAGGGCCTTCATATTCAATATGATAATAAAACCAGTCCCTGTCTGCCACTCATGCACACTTCGCTTATCAATTTAAAAACCTTTTCTCTTACTGTATTAACTTGCATCATGAAAATGATCAAGTCGGGTTAAGTAAATTGCCATAGGCTAAAGAGAAAACAAAAGAGATGGATTTAAAAAGAAAATTATGCCTTTATGCTAAATAATGCATCAAAGATATCCTGGTTTATTCTAAGAACAAAAGCCTTGCAATAGTTTGCAAACAGAAAGTAGTAGTAGAATCCACTCATCCCAGGGCACATTCAACGATATGTTTTTTCCTTCAGTATTGTATTTGGGGTTACACTGTTAAATTAATTGGCTTATCAAAACAATGAATTAGTAGATAAAAATAAGCTTTTTGTTAAGAAGGGAAAATGATGACTGTGACAATTCCAAGGAGGCACATGCTAGACCAGAGATGCAAAATCAAAAGAATCAAGTCAAACACAAGCACAGAAAAGCACAAATATATCTTTCCACTGATAATGGTCTCAACATTGGTGCTTTAGCTTCTGAAAAACAAAATATTCTCACATTAAGAGCACTCATTTAAATGTTACTGATTTTTTCTAGTTTTTAACTTAATTTGTATGTCTTTTGGTTTTATAGTTTATAAAAGCTGTAAGCATAAGAGGTTTATACATATTTTATATTTGTACACATTTAAATTTAAAATAAAAGTGGTTAACATCAACATTATAGGTCTGCAATGCTTCTTTTTCCTTTTAGAGTGGAAAATAACAGATGTAACTCTTACAAATTTTAATGAGTCCATCCAGTGTTTGGAGTAACATAACGAGTTTGAGAAATGTTGTTAAAGACAACTAATCATGATTAGAGGAATGTTTGAAAATTACTTTAATATATTTATTCAAGTTTATTAATTTATAGAATTAGAAGGAATCTGTGGTAGTCCTCTCTGCTGCCCAGGCTAGAGTGCAGTGGTACAATCATGGCTCACTACAGCTTCAAATTCCTGAGCTCAAGTGATCCCCTTGCCTCAGTCTCCTGAGTAGGTGGGACTACAGGTATGTACCACCACACTTGGCTAATTTTTAAACATTTTTGTAGAGACAGGGTCTTGCTATGTTGTCCAGGCTGGTGTCAGACTCCTGGCCTCAAGTGATCCTCCTGCCTCAGCCTCCCAAAGTGCTGGAATTACAGGACTGAGCTACTGCACCAGCCTGCCTTCTTCTTAATAAAGAAATTCAATTTAACCTTAGTGGTTTATTATGAAGATTAAGGTTATACTAACACAACATAAGATCATTTGGACCTCTCTGCATGGGTACATTATTTATCTCTCTGTGCCCCTTAGAGTACATTCCAGCACTTTTATGGGTGCACCTTCTCATTTGGCTAGTGAGGTACAACTTAAATTCCTTTTGAAATACAAGTTTCTTGAGGGCAAAAGCCCTTTCTCCTTTATCTTTTTCTTTTTTTTTTTTTTTTTTTTTGGAGACAGAGTCTCACTCCATCACCAGGCGCCAGGCTGGAGTGCAGTGGCGCGACCACGGCTCAGTGCAACCTCCGCCTCCCGGATTCAAGCAATTCTCCTGCCTCAGCCTCCCGAGTAGCTGGGACTACAGGTGCGCGCCACCATGCCCAGCTAATTTTTTTGTATTTTTAGTAGAGACGGGGTTTCACCATGTTGACCAGGATGGTCTTAATCTCTTGACATTGTGATCTGCCCACCTCAGCCTCCCAAAGTGCTGGGATTACAGGTGTGAGCCACCGCGCCCAGCCTCTTTTTTTTTTTTTTTGAGATGGAGTCTCATTCTGTCACCCAGGCTGGAGTGCAGGGACCCATTCTCAACTCGATGCAACCTCTGTCTCCTGGGTTCAA